CGAAACTGACATCGTCCCCTAAACGCCTCTAATTTTTCATCGATCGTGATGTTTTCGCTTAAAGAGTATGATTTTTTGCAGTTCTTTACAAATTCTTCAAATATACCTCTTATTGGTGCTAAACGGTCAACATGCTTTCTTTCTTCTCTAGTTTCCCTGTCATCAAATCTTATGGAACGCATTATAAAATGAAATCGTTTCAGACTCATTGTCCTTCTAAATCTTTCAATCCCTTCAGTCGACCATAGCTCTTTTAAATTTAACCGATTTGCGTGATAGACCCCAGCTAAATAGACTAAACCAATAAATGCTTTAATTTCAGTAATATCTGTCTTTTGAGCATCTCTAAGTCTGGCGAATTTGGTTTGAATTAATACAATATACTGATTGGTATATTGAGTAATTTTTTGCAGTATATTATCATTTATTAATAAATTCCATGTTTCATAAATTCCACCAGGTTTTCTGGCTTCACCTATTACTCCGGGTAAATGAATAATAATGTTCTGACGGGGAGCTCGTTTTCTTTGTGACATAGGAGTTTTTTTCCATTTCCATTCATTAACGATTTTTTTGTTCTTCTTTTGAACGGCAACAAAATGTGATTCATCACCTTCATCTTCATCTTCTTCAGTCTCACTGACATCACTTTGATCTGTTTCCGAATCTTCTCCTCTTTCTTTAGCAGAAACAGATGCATCGGTATCGCTTTCCTCGTGCTCTATTTCATCTCTTTCATAATTACTTCCTTCACTTTCCTCTAAAAGAAGTAGATTTCTCAGCTCCTCACAATCCTTTTCATTAGTTAGATCGTATTTCTTCTTTCGGTATGCCATATTAATACTTTTGAAAAAATTAAAACAGAAATATAACATAAATAGGCGCGTGTATCTCTTAGATACATATGGTATTTTATCATATAAAAAGATAAAATAAAAATAATAAATTTCTAGTAGATACTACAAATTAGCTCCAAATGTTAAAAAACCCAAGTGAACTACAAAAATGAGAATTTACAAAAACTTACATAAACAGTCGCGTGTATC